GTCCTCGTCCTCCCTCACGACCCCCTCCCGCTCGTACAAAATCCTCCCCCTAGCACGACCTCCTCCTTCCCCTGCCGCATGACCTCTGCAACCTCTCGTCCCCAGCATGCGATTGAGAAGAGGTTAACAGAGCCCTAAATTTTCAGGATTTTTTCAGGAACTTGGCACACACAGACCTTAACCAAAATAAAACAGGGCAAAAAAAAAAAACAAAAAAAAACTGAAAAAAATGATCTCCAATGCACTTGTCAGGGTTGGGGGTGTTACCTTGGGGCTGAATAGTGGGGGTCCCTGTTAACCTTTGGTGGAGCTTCTCCGGTGAGAAAAAGGACGAGGAACTCAACACTTGGTTGAGAACAGTTCCAATGTGGGTAAGGGCAAAGAGGACGTTGCAGGAGGAGGAGGTGATTACGACTGCATCTTACCTTGAGGGTAAGGTAGCCAAATGGCTGGATGGGATAGTAGCGAAGGCCGGGTTCGAACGACGCATGGCCGACTGGGGTAAGACCCTTACTTTAGAAGAGTTCTTAGATATGGTAGAAGCTCGCTGGCATAATCCGCAGCAGGCACAAATTGGCACTGATGCGATGCTCAGACTAGACCAACGAAGGTACAAGTTTGTCAGAGACCTGACGTCTACCGTAGAGAACCTCATCATCGTTCCCGGTATACGCTATGATGACCAGGTTTTGTTGACCATGTTTCTGAGATGTCTGCCCGAGAATCTCAAGACCTTACTGGCCAGCGAGGCTCGCCTTGAGTATCATTCCTTTGAGACCTTCTCTAGAAAAGCCTTAGATTTGGAGGCTACTCTAGGAAGTGCTCAACCTACTCCAGTAGACGGGAGGAAGAAGAAGAGTCCACAGGAGTGGAAAAAGAAGGGTAGTAGATTGATGATGGTTGAGTCCGATGAGACTCAAACTGAAATCGAAGAACTTACCGACCTGATGGACGGTCCAGAGTACGACGGCGAGGAAGTCGCTGAGGGTAGCACCCTCGCCGCAATAGTAAAGACTAAGGCAGGTGGCCGAGGTAAGGGCCATCAAAAGAGTCGAGGGCAGACCGCCTCCAATCAATCCAAAGTAACAGATTGGGTTAAGGCAGGTCTTGATCAGGAAGTGTGGCATGAACGCCGAGTGCGTGGTGCTTGTATCAACTGTGGTGAATACGGACACACCAGTACAAGTGCAAGAACGCAAAGGTCACGCAGAAGATACCCCCTAAGGGAGGGGTACCTCCTTCCCAGGCTTCCAGATCGGGAAACATTTGAGGCCGGTGGAAGTTTTAGCTGCTTCCACTCATGGTGAAGTGGGCCAGATACCCTTCCCACTTCATGAGATGGCCATAGCCAATGACTCTTTAGTCACCCTGCAGACTCATCTAGACCAAACTATGCTCTGTACGTTGGATGTGTCTGA